AATAAACTACTTCCCACATAGACGACAGTAGTTTTGTGGTATTTAACTTGTGAGATAACTAAGAATAGCCCTGTCTCAGCATTTGTGGCATGTTCAGTAAATCTGTTCTTCCAATGAGAATTCCTACTTTATTACTTTGATATTGAAGTTACTGAAGCTCATTAGGAAAGGCCAATGTTCCCAATGTATACCAGGAAGAAGATTGCTAATTCTAGACTCCATCACACACACACACACACACACACACACACACACACACACGAATTTTTAAACACACAAACTTGTCATTTTATTAATTATAATCAAATTATAAAATACTTTATATTAAAAACATACAAGAATTGTTCTCAGTTGTTTAGTTTTGTTAGAGGTATGCATAATATATTGCTGTCTGTAATTAATTCACACAGTATGTGCAATTTGGAGGTACTTAAGAGATTAGGCAAAGAAAATAGTTTACTCGTCACTACAAAGAATTCCATATATTTCACATGCAGGCAATATTAAAGCAAAAAATAACTTCCTCCTTTCTGAGCAGTAGACCTTCCCCATTTAATTGGAATGATTTATTTTGCCACTATTAAATCTCAGTTGAAGATGGTTCTATTTGGAGCTTGAGGTTTGGGTGAGGGTGGTATTACAGTTAGTCTCTGTCTCCTCCTCCCCCTCCCCTTCTCTCCCCCTCCATCTCCTCCTTCTTCTCCAGGCTGTGCATCACATTGTTATGCTGCAGCTTTCTGAATACTGAGTTTACAGGTGTGTGCCATAGTGCCCACTTTTGTCCCATTTCAAAAACTGGTTTATGTGTTTGCGCCTGTGTGTATGTGTATGCACTGTGTGATGGTGCCCATGGAAGCCAGATGAGGGTGTTAGATCCCCTGGGACTGGAGTTAGAAATGGCTGTGAGCAGCTTGATGTAGGTAGTGGGAATGGAACCTGTATCCTCTTCAAGAGCAGTGAATACTCTTAACCATCTCTCCAGCCCCTTTGACATTTCAAGATGGATACTTCAGTAAACACCAAGCATTTGTGAAAAGAATTTTGGATACTGTAGACCACTAAGAGATGTAAAGATCTGCTTGGAAATTTTAGACTTCTAAGTATACTCACATGAGGTATACTAATATATACTATACTAAAGATGAATAGGAAGCTATTTATCTAGTGTGTATGGCCATTAATGTCTACTTTCCTCCTTTTCCATTTCCTGGAATGAGAAGAAAATAGTATGAAACTTTGTTGCATATTTTTTTTTAATCCTTATTAAAGGAATCAGAAAGACAGGTGCGATGGTGCACACCTGTGGTTCCGGTACTTGGGAGACAGAGGCAGTAAGACTGTTGTGTTCCAGTCTGCATAGTGAGTTCCAGGCCAGGCAGAACCAGACCTGTCTCAGGAAAACCAAAAGTAAAAGGAATGACCAAACATTGTTGAATATTCAATGCCAAGTTCGTTTCTTAAATTTAGAGAGGATGTAGTACACCAAAATTTTAAACTTTAAGGAGTACCCACAGTGAACTTTTAATGACTTTTTCAACATTGGTGAAATTTGCCTGTAGTGTTGAATGAGTTAAGTTTCAGCCTATAAAGTAAACAGGAAGAGGGGAGTCTGCAGCTCCTAAGACTGAAAACCCACACTGCCTTTGTGTTCAGCTTCTCCTTAGAATGGTAGTCAAATACAGTAGTTAATTTCTATTTCCCTTTAGAGCACAACCTTTTTACAACTCTTTAAGTCTTCACTAACGTTACGAACTCTCCACAAAAACTTCATTTCTTATACCCGTATCATGGTATCTATGAAGATTGAGGAGCTGGGTTTGAGAGTGTATGTCTGTCATCTCAGCACTCAGAAAGCTGAGGCAGGAAAATCAAGTTTGAAGTCAGCCTGAGCTACATAGATACTTAGATTAAAAAAAAAAATGAGGGAATCAAGAATTCTACACATTTTGCATTTACTTCATAGTTGAAACCCCAAGTCTACACATCTCAAATGTATCCTTGATCTCACATCCCTTAACAACTTAAAAAGAAACGTTTTAGTGTGTGTGTGTGTGTGTATGTTTGGCCTGTGTTTATTTACACACACACACACACACACACACACACACACACACACACACACACACACACACACACACACACACACACACTATGTGCATGCCTGGCCCTTGGCGAAGTCAGAAGAGGACATTGGATTTCCTGGAACTAGATTTGTAAGCCACCATGGGGGAGCTTAGATGGAACCCAGATTCTCTGCCAAAGCAACAAGTTGTAACCAGTGAACCAACAGTGCAACTCGGATTTAATTTTACATATTGTGCATGGTTTTCACATGTGCACATGTATTTGTGTGTCACATATACACATGTATCAGCACATGTGGAAATTAGAAGACAGCTTGCTTTCTGAAGTCTCTTTGCTCCCACCACATGGCTTCTGGGGAGCAAATTCAGGTTGTCAGGTTTGGTGGTAGGCACCTTTGCCGCGCCCCGTGTCGCCCCCCCCCCCAAGCTATCTCACTGTTGTCCGATACAGGATTTAAATTCCTGTTCTCCAGTAATTCCCTGTTTTCATTAGTTCTATTCATTAGTTGCTTGATTGAGGCAGGACCCTGTTCTGAAAAATTCTAATTTCCCCCTCGACATTCTCTCTGGTGTTAATACATTATCTACTCATGCTTTCCACGCTTCCTTGTTACTGTTCATATGGTCAGCCCTCCCCAAATTCCCTGGGATATGGGAAGTTGGTATAGCCTCAAGTTTAATGACTTCAAGTCAGACTGGCCTCAGTTTAACACATCTGGTCAGTTCAGGATTAGCATAGTATGTTGGGATTGCAGTGGAGTGTGCATGTCCATTAAGACGGAGGTCATATTACTAAGAACTTGTCAAAATTCATGCAAGTGTAAATGGCAGGAGTGCATTTGGGAAGGTACATCTGGCAATTCTGTAGGATTGTGTGGAGTTTATGTGTGTGATGTGTGAGTGGGCACACACACAGGTCAGAAAAGAGTTCTCACCTTCCACCTTGGGTCTGTGGATTAAACTCATGTTGTGTGACAAGCTCTGCCCACCCCTACACATACACACTGAGCCATCCTGCTAGTCCAGCTTAATCTTTTGTATTTTTCAAGACAGGTATCGCTTTGTAGCTAGGCTGGCCTGGATCCTCTGCCTCAACCTCTCCAGTACCAGGATTACAAGTGTGTGCTACCATGCCTGGCTAGCTTATTACTTTCAAAGAATAACCATTTCAGAAAGACCAGAAAACACATACATTGGATAAGCATTACTTGACAAAGACTACATATTACTTGACATGCAGTGACCCATTAATAGACAATATTTTTATTTATTTTTTTTTTTGGTTTTTCGAGACAGGGTTTCTCTGTGTAGCTTTGCGCCTTTCCTGGAACTCACTTGGTAGCCCAGGCTGGCCTCGAACTCACAGAGATCCGCCTGCCTCTGCCTCCCGAGTGCTGGGATTAAAGGCGTGCGCCACCACCGCCCGGCTGACAATAATTTATTGTAGGGACTAGTTGCAAAAGAAACTAGTATGTCACATTGTGAAGAGCCAGACATGGTATCAGGTATCAAATACTTGCTTTGTATTCTCAGGGCTCAGAAGGCCAAGGCCAACCTGGGCTACATTGGGACTCTTATCTCAAAAGAAAAAAAAAAAGAGGGAGGAGTTCATAGAGCAGTTCTCTTGAGCAGCCCTTACTAATCAACTTTATTATTGAAACATTTTTACAACTTGAACTTAGATACTCAGGAAAGTGCTTATCTGGGCTTCCTGAAGTTGGGCCTTGAATGATGAGTAACTTCTCACACCTCATTTTCTTTCATGCTCTGCGATGGAGTTTCTCATTTGTGTATTAATGCTCTTACATGCATCAAAATCACACATGAATATGTGTTTATTCATCTTCCGTTATGGACTTTGGCTCCCTCTGTCATCCCATCCTACTTCATAATTCTCCAGGTTTGGTTCAAAACCTCTTTCATCCTTGAGAGAGATTTCTTTGCTGTGAATTCTGGTAGATAATTCTCCCCTCTTCATGGTCAGCCTTTACTATTGTCTTCCCGTAACTGGCCTCCGTGGATTCTGCAACAAGATTAGATAATTCTTTAGGAAAGAGACTTTATCTGACAGCCCTTAGTATTTTCCACAGCAAATTAAAGTTAATGGTAAGTGAAATTTACGTCACATGTTAGGAATGGTTTAAGTTTAAAACAGATTTGGGGAAATAAGAGTGCAGTATTAGAGATGTCTAACTCGTTTGAGTGGTATTTTCACTTTATTATTTGAATGGTTTCAGTTTGGTCTTTTGGTTCTAAACTTAATCCCTACATTTATATTATAGTCAGAGTGTTTTGTCTTTCTCAATTTTGGTTGCAGACTTATTCTTAGAAGAATATTTAGACTTAAATATTCTTCGTTCTGCACTAGTCAGTGATAAAATCTGCACTAACAGCCATACTATTAAGATGCTTGTTTTCGTTAAGAGCTCTTTCATTAAAAAGTAGAATCTAAAATACATAACAATTTCAACAAGAATTAGGGACTTTGTAGCCGAATCTTCGCACACAGCAGTTTTCCCCCTCAATAATATCTATCTAATTCGTATATCCACCAGTCATCTGGCGGTATGGTGACAAGTTGAGAGACAATTTCGGGCGCATCCCATGGAGTCTCCTCTAACTGCCCAAGTTTCTGGCAGCGACAGTGCTAAGAACCTTTGCTGCTCAATGTAACCACCACTGAGGGAGGAAGACGGGGTGCTGCGGAGCGTTGTTAAAGATGGTTTTTGTGCCGGCCTTTCGGAATTCCGCTGGGAGCCCAGGTAGAGGGCAGTTGCAGCTCTGCGGCGTCCCCGTAGTTTCCCGAGAAATCCACGGTGTGGGCGGGGCACCAGCGCGTCCGGGAGAGCCGTCTGGGGTCCGCGAGCCCCTTGCCCCGCCCACCCAGCGGTTCGGGTGGCGCATGCGCAGAGCCGGCCCGGAGAGTTGTCGGCTGGGAAATGGCGGCCGCGGGCTTGGTGGCTGTGGCCGCGGCTGCGGAGTACTCTGGCCCAGTGGCGTCCGGGGCAAACCTCTCCGGTGCTAACTGTGGGCCGAGCCCTGGGGTAGGCCCAGGTCCTGGCCCGGGCTCGTGGAGCCGCTCGGTCGACCGAGCCCTGGAGGAGGCTGCGGTCACCGGGGTGCTGAGCCTGAGCGGCCGGAAACTGAGGGAGTTTCCCCGGGGAGCGGCCAGCCATGACCTGACGGACACCACCCGGGCCGGTGAGCGGGGCGCGGGCATCCCTGCCGCTCGGGACCGGCGGGGTGGGGAGGGGCTCGTCGGGTGCGGGGCGTGTGGCGACCGCGCCCGAGGCTCCCGGTGACCGGGGGTAACGGGGGAGGCTGGCGGGACCGCGCACCCTCCCGGCCTGGCCAGACCCGGAGCCTGGGGTGCGGCGGCGCTCAGCATCACCCCTGAAGCCGGCCAGAGGCGACTGAGGGATGATCTTTCTGGAGTCGCTGTCAGAAATCCCGCTGCCAGAGCCCCCTGTAGACTTCTGCCCCACCCCGGTGTCTGCAGGCCCCTTTGGATCTGGGCTGCCAAAGGGACTCTGCTGAGAGTTGGGGAGTTGTGGCAAGCACGTTCTTCCACCGTAGTCCGGGTGACGCTGGGTGCTTGCTGCATTGTCCGAGGACCCATGTCCGCGCTGGCGTTTGCCCCGGTGTGTGCGAGTCTGTGTGTGTAATGTGGACTCGGACGCTGTAACTTAATTCTCCGCCTCCGTCGGTTGACTTACCGAAGAGTACTTGTAAAAAGAGCGCATCTTTAGGTGCACGTTACTTTCCGTCTTTCGCTCTGACGTGCCCTCCAAGAAAACGTGAGAAGAAAAACTTCATAGGATATTGTCTACCTCATCTGTATTTGCTTTTCCCTTTAAAAACATTACTTCGCCTTATATTGTTTAAGACAGGAAAGAGAATGGGAATTAAGTATTATTTGGTTTCCTTAGTTGTGGGGAACAATGTATGGTGACTGAGGTATTCAGCATACTATAATGTGTTCCTCTTGTGTTTAACATTTAGTTTCCGCAGGGAGTAGATTAAGAATTGAGTCTTTATGTTTTACATAAATATAAGGGGAGAGGTCCCTTACGAAGTGGTTTGAATGTTTTGTGTTTCTGTAGTTAGTGAATGTGCAATATGCATTGTGTTATCTTTATTCTGCGCAATTTTTTTTTTTTTTTTTTTTTGGTTTTTCGAGACAGGGTTTCTCTGTGTAGCTTTGCGCCTTTCCTGGAACTCACTTGGTAGTCCAGGCTGGCCTCGAACTCACAGAGATCCGCCTGGCTCTGCCTCCCGAGTGCTGGGATTAAAGGCGTGCGCCACCACCGCCCGGCTTATTCTGCGCAATTTTAACATCTTAGAGTGAATACTTTCTTAAGCTTCTGTAGTCATCAAAGATTGGCAATCATTACATACTCATGTTGGAAAAATAAATAGACTGGGGCTGGTGAGATGGCTCAGTGGATAAAATGACTCTTGCTGCCAAGCCTGACAGACAGTCCGAGTTTGATCTCCAGAACCTCAATAGTGGAAGGAGAGAAATGACTCCTTCCTGAAAGTTGTCTTCTGACTTACACACACACACACACATACACACACACACACACACACACACACACACACACACACACAGAGTGCATTAAACACTAAAACGAAATTGAAAAAAAGATGTTAAATTTCTGCTAAAAACTATTATTTCCAAAGAAACTTTTGTTCTGCTAACTAAAGCTTATTTGGGGAGTTGTTCTTTGAATATAATCTCGGTTTTTTTTTGGTTGTTGTTGTTTTTTAACTAAATAGTACAAATTTGCTAAGGTAAACATGAATTTTTATATGTATGTTGATAGGCATCATCTAAAATTGTCATTCAGACCCCTGCCTTCTTGATTCTGCTCAGGAGAGGGCTGATTGGCAGAGTGATTTTTATACTTAGGTGAGTCATTTCAGTATTGCCACACTAAGCCTGAAGGTAAAGAAAAAGATGATTAGAGCATTCTATCTAGCTTATTATCTTATCTGCTCTTAAGTAATTCTAGGAGCAACAGTTTGAGCCACCAAGAAATAAAAAGTTTTATTGACAAAGAAAACCAAACATTTCTGAGGAATAATATTTAATCTCAAGGAAAGTTTTCCTTTTTGAGCTCTGTTTTTTTTAGGTATATTATCATTTATACTTTAATGTTCTAGCTACTATATTAAATCAAAGGTTTTGTTTTTTTTGGTTGATGTTTTATCTGATCAAAAGTATAAAAAAGAGATTAAAAAGGTCACAAAGTATTTTATAACCTGTTAGACCAGATTCATTTCTAACTTCAGCAGCCCTTATAATTAGAACAAAAATAGTTTTAAACAGGCAGTTTAATGTCAGTGACATAATTTATTGAGTGATCATTATTTGTTATTCATCCTTAGATGTTTAAACATATTGCCTTGTTAAATATATACAGCATATGGATTAAATATGATTACACCCAGTTTCATAGGAAAAATAACTCAGAGATATTCCTACTGCTGATAGACTTTTATCTGACTGTTTTCTCCACTGTATCAACCAGCTTCTGTGTGCAGTGAGGCACTCTTCTTCTTCTTCTCCTCCTCCTCCTCCTCCTCCTCCTTTTTCTTGCAGAGAGTGAAAGCAAAGCTTAGAGATATTTAATAATGTGCTCAAAGACATGTAGCCAGAGGACAAAGGAAAAGGGTGTTCTTTAGGATTGGAGTCCTGTTTGACATAACTCCAAAACCCATTCTTTTTTTGTAGGTACTTGATGAATCCAGACTAACTACTTTTTAAATGATGTGTGTTTGTATGTGTGTCTCTGGTGTGGGTATGTGCATATGAACACAGTGCAGGTGCTAAGGAAACTGACCAGAAGAGGGCATCAGCTCCCCTGGAGGGTGAGCTACCTGTTGTAGGTGCTAGGAATCAATTCAGGTCCTCTGCAAGAGCAGTATGCACACTTAACAACTGAGCCATCTCTGAAGCCTGGATTCAGACTTAAAATAGTTAAAGTCTATTTTGCATAGAGTAGATACTATAGAAAATTTAAAACCATGTAAAACTGCATAAACTTGGCTCATAGATTGTTCTTTCATTAAGTATGGAATGTCCATGGTAGAATTCCTGCTTTCTAAGAATTTACATCCTAAGAAACAGCACTTATTATTACCTATACCATTTTCAACTCAGGATAATTAGAATTTGCTTGAGTTTTTTTTCTTGTTTAAAAAGGTAGATACTGCTGGGCATGATCCCATGTGCCTTTAATCCCAACACTCAGGAGGCAGAAGCAGGAGGATCTCTTTGAGTTTCAGGACAGCCAGGGCTACCAAGAGAAACCCTGTCTTGAAAAACAAAAAACAAGAAACAAAACAAGATAGTTGAGCTGTTAATAATGGAGGACCAGAAAGGTAATACTATTGCTAATAGCCATGCTTGGCACTTATTGAGCCCAATCAGTGTTGTCTATGTTACTGTGACAAAATACCAGTGATACTTAGCTTAGGAGGAAATAGAGCTGGAGAGATGGCTCAGTAGTTAAGAGCATATACCGTTCTTGTAGAGGACTGTGTTTGGTTCCCAGCACCCACAGCAGGCAGTTCATAACTGCCTGTAACTCCAGCTCCAGGAGATCTGAAACCTCTGGCCTTCTAAGGTACCTGCACTCATGTGCACACATTCCCCCACCCCCTCACATACACATTATTAAAGACGATTTAAAAAAAATAATTTTTTTTAAAGGTGGAGGAAAGGCTGTTTGGCTCCTGGCTTCAGAAATTTTAGTCCCTGGTCACTTTACCAAGTTACTGAAAGCAGAAGAGGTGTGCTAATCTTGTGATGGCCTGGAAACAGAGAACCAGGAAGGAGCTGGGCTCCCTGCATCCTCTTCAAGGACAAAACTCCAGTGACCCAACTTCCTAAGGGTTCCACCATTTCCCAGTAGCCTTCCAGACTGGGGACCAAGCTTTCCACACTTGCACATTTTAAATGCAAACTGCAGCAAGCTTTTCCCATAACCCAATATTGTGCTAAGGTACCTCACAAGCATACAATTGTGTGAGGTGTGAGTACTAATTTATTTTCCCTCACTCCTCATATCAGAAAATTGAGACTCAGGAGATGTTGCAATTCAGTCAGGACTTCACAGCCAGAAAGCAACAGAACTAGGATTCAGATTCATATTTATCCAGACATGCTGGTATATGCTTATAACTCTAACCTTTAGGAAGCTGAGGCAGGAGGATTAAGGGGTTGAGACAGCTTGAGCTATTTAGGAAGTTCAAGGCTAGATAGTGAGACCCTGTCTCAGGAATAGTCATATACATAATATTCTAAAGCTTGTGTTTTTGATCACTGGATCATACAGGGTGAAACCTAAGATTTGTTTGCCTGATCCCCCATTGGTGTCATGATCGGTAGCACCGCTAGTTAGTGCTGTACAGCCAGAAGCAAAGCCAACCTGATCCCCAATTGGTATCATGATCGGTAGCACCGCTAGTTAGTGCTGTACAGCCACAAGCAAAGCCAACCTGGAGCTTTAGAGTAAAACTGGAGCTAGAGCATCAGTTCAAGAAAATGATAGTGAAAGTTGAGAGATTCCAAGTCTTTCTCCAAGAAAAGAAAAGTGAGTCTTTTCTGGCATTTTGAAAAGGAGGAAGAATCAGCCTGAGGAAAAGCAAATAAAATTTATTAACTAGGCCTGTTCCAGAGTTCATAGAATTCTAAAACTTGGAGGAGCTGTGGTACCCATCTGAGGTACTTTACAGATGAGAAGCCTCCTCGGTTTAAATGATGTGCTTTAGACTGTAGAGTGAAATGACCAGATAGGTAGTATTTCACAGACGGCAAACATGAGTCATAGTTGAACTGTAAGAAATGTTTTTGAATGGAAGACAGCAAGCAAGAAACAGGAGAGGATGGGGATGGGGAGGGCAGAATCAGATTACACACTTGAAAAGAAAATAAATGGAGATGTAATGGGTGCACCAACGTAATGCAGTATCGTCAGTCATGAGAATTGAGATTCTAAAAAATGAATACTTATTTCCTAGGCAAGAAGAATGGAGACAGCTAAAATGCCATTTAATTTGTCAAGAATGCAATCTGTAACCCACAAAATGATGGTTTTATAAGCCTTGGAAATATGTACTAGAGCGCCAGGTCTTAAGTGGAAATCATGTGTTTGTTTGTTTTTTTTATATCAATCACGATACATGTATGT